TTTATTTGAATCGATGATAAAAAATTAAGAGATGTGCGTAAAGTGTAAAAGATGGTATTTGGGTAGCATTACCCTAATGAGTAATGTTAAGGAGACTTTTAAAAGTAAAACTCTTTATAAATTCTCTGTCACTTTATGTTTTTGACATAAAATTTTATAATGTTGATATGAAAATTGAAAGTGAGATGATAGAAAGTTACCCTAAATATTCATGTCAGGAAAGTGGGAACACAAATCGAAGATCAGATCTGATAAGCACTACGACTTATCATGCATAGCAGACAGCTACTTCGCACTAGGCCAGACAATGACAGACTGATTGGTAGATAATAAATTAGATTCTTCATAATAAAAGTCTTGAAATATAAAATTATTTATTGTTCGGAAAGGTAGAAAGTAGTGGGACCACAAATGAAAATAAGGAAAAAGAAGAAAATAATGGAAGTAAATTTAGTAATTAAGTACGAGGTAGGGTAACGTGGCGCGACATGAATCGTGTTTTTTGTAATTTTTCCGTACCTCTTTACTGTAATGGTCACCACTTTATTAATTATTATGAATTTAATCTTATTTAATTTATAAAATAATGTTATTCATACCATATTTTTATATCATATTTTCATACACCTTAGGTGTCATTTGAAAAATTTGCAAAACTCAAGGAAATGAAAGAGAAAGACTCCTTGTATACCACCGTCATCATTTAATTAACTAGTTTTTCTTAATTATTAGTTTATTAAATAATGAATTAAAAATAAAAATCTGATTAATTCAAATAATGTGGTTGTCCACATCAAATGTCACCTAAGATGGTATGAAAATGTGGTACAAAAATATGGTATGAATAACATTACTCTAATTTATATGCTAAGCTAATCTCAAAATTAAACTAATATAATGGTAATCAAGAGAGCAGCGAGGTTCACCACTACTTTAGGATGATAAACAAAAATACAATATACTATATGTCAAACTCTTTTATTTCTCACACTCTTGTTTATTTTTTTCCATTGATTTTCTTTAGTTTATTTAATCTGACGGCCAGAAATTGAGTGGACTGTGTGAGAGATAAAAATAGGTGTGTAGATCGTACAATTCAAAAAATATTGTTAACAACATATTAAAAATCGTAAAGTACTCTAATAAGGGAGAAAAGAGAGTGCAAGCACGAGTGCGTAACATCCGGTGCTAATCAAATAAATACATATTTTGTCCACATGTACTTATTTCATGGACATTGAATGTTATGAGGAGTATTTGTACAACATATTTCTCTAAAAAAAGGGAAAATGACTTCACGAGATTCACAATTTTTGTTCAGACTTCTCTATGAGCTACTCCTCTCTTTAAAAATTTTGATGTTCAAACACATCGTCCTCACATAATTTTGAGTTAAATATGAGAGTTTAAATTGAGTCTTGTAAATAGTGAGTTCGAACCTGTAATATAAATATATCGCGTTGTATATAATAAATGAAACTTAAATGGTGGTCCTTTTTCATTTCCCACTTTCTTTTTTTGTCTGTAAACCCGGGATGGCACTTTTTATTTATTATTTTTTATAATTTTATGGGTTGCCTTATATTCCGGAGAAAAATAAGAAAAAGGAAAAAGGGTAATTGCATTATGCTTAAAGTGGCGTGGGAGCACCATGTGACACATGTTTTTGTATGTTTTCGAAGGATAATTTATGCAACACGAGATCTATATATATATATATATATATTCATGCCTTACCTTATCACCCAAATACTTTCTACACGAAAACGACATCTATGCTCAATTGTTGGCACAACATGTACATTAATTGAACAATTGCAAATGATCTTCACAAGTAGTTAACTTGGTTTGATATGGTGAAGAGAGTTGAGATTCCAATGTAATATCAATTTGGCAGTGAGAGAAGCCTAACAATATTTCACACAGCATAATATAAGTGATAAAATAAATTGACAGTAACGAGTGTAGCTTAAAATATTAACTGAGATTCTATATATAAAAAATCTCTTAACGTTATAATATAAAACGACACTTCACATTCCCGTGAGCAATACTAACTAATATAAATTCGAATTTAGACAAAATCCGGCGTACTATATAGATCAAGTAGATTAACACACGTATGGTTGTGGGTGGCAATGAAGGACAATACAAAGGTCCCAATAGATGATGATTCAATTGGGACAAAAAAGCAAATCACATGGATTGCGTAAAAATGCACACAAAGTCTCTCTCTCTCTCTCCCCCCCCTCATACACACATGCATGTAGACTTCCTTTTTCTTCATGTTTGGTGGACAGCACAAAAGCATCCATCATTTGAACAAGTGTAGTGCACTTTGGCGAACGACGACAATCATTTACGACATCAGATCTCTGGTCAGTTCATTTTTTTTTTATTTATTGGTCTTGTGTTCATCGCAAAGCAGATTTTATTGCCGATGTAATTATTAGTGTTGAACACTCGATTTAAGACACTTATACTTAGTATAGGTCCTCATCCGCTATTACTCAAATTTCTTTTTGTTTGCTTGTACTGAAAATGGTTGCACCAAAAGTTTCTCTCTTTAATTAACTTTATTTTTCGTATAAAAAAAAAAAAAGAAAAAAGCAAGGGCTTCCATCATTCATAATACGACAATATCTCTCCATCGTCGCCGATCAATGCAATTGCTATTGTCTAACAACAAGCTAGCTTTATTTATACTACTAAGATTTCTACTCAAACAATCTTATAATTTAATGAATCAAGATAATCATTTTGTTCATCCGTCCATCTCATGATTTTCAACTAGTTTGTATTAAAAAAAAAAAAAAACCTAATTTATACGAAATTTATTTATAAAAATAAACTTAGAGCATGCTAGGAAGTCGATAACATTTAAGACAAACTAATTTAATTTATTAAAAATAGGAAAAACTAATGACAAGGGCTTGACAACTTTGAGTTTTAATGATAAGGACAAAATAAAGGGTAAAGTGAATAGTATCAGGAATAATTTTGTAGTGTAAAAATGTGATTTTTCGTTAAAGTAAACAATACCGTGACTTAAAACTCCCTTAAAAATAACCACATATTACTTTTTTTTTTTTGGTTGGGTTTGATAAATAAAAGCTTAGCATTAATTGAACGTCTAGTTCATTGCCAACTATTATTTTCGAGAAAATAATCAATAAAAAAATTTAATTAAACTTCATTCATCTTCTAGCCAAAAAAAAAAAAAAAAAACTTCATTGATCAATCTCTTCTATTTTCTACTTAAAGAATACGATGGGAAACACGGAATGATCTTTCAGACATCATGTCCATGCCATTGTCCAAAATACGACGTAACTTTTGAAGGTCACCGTTCATCATTTTCAATCACAAAAGGATTGAAAATTAATGTTACACTTTGATTTGGACTTTACATTATGCAAAGTGGTTGTTGAAGATATGCAAATATTTCTTTCGTCATTAACTACTGTAATACATGGAAAAAAATATTCAATGTGACATCCCACATCGCCCAGAGGAGTGATCCTTAAATGCATATTCCCATCCCTACCTAGTATGAGGCCTTTTGGGAGCTCACTGGCTTTGAGTTCCGTAGGAACTCTGAAGTTAAGCGAGAAGGGGGCTAGAGCAATTCCATGATGGGTGACCCACTGGGAAGTTGCTCGTGAGTTCCCAAAAACAAAACCGTGATGGAATAGTAAGCCCAAAGCAGACAATATCATTCTACGGTGGTGGAGTCGGGCCCGGGAAGTGGTCCCGCCCGGGTTGGGATGTGACAATTGGTATCAGAGCCTAACCCTGGCCGTAGTGTGCCGACGAGGATGTCGGGCCCCTAAGGGGGGTGGATTGTGACATCCCACATCGCCCAGGGGAGTGATCCTTAAATGCATATTCCCATCCCTACCTAGTACGAGGCCTTTTGGGAGCTCACTGGCTTCGGGTTCCATGGGAACTCCGAAGTTAAGCGAGTAGTGCGCAAGAGCATTCCCAGGATGGGTGACCCATCGGGAAGTTCTCGTGTCAGTTCCCAAAAACAAAACCGTGAGGACGTGGTCGGGGCCCAAAGCGGACAATATCGTGCTTCAGTGGTGGAGCAGGCCCGGGAAGTGGTCCCGCCCGGGGCGGGATGTGACATTCAAACTTAAGCAGGAATAGACATATAAATTGTCTTAATCAACTGATTTAATTTATATTTGTTATGAAGTTTTATTTGGATGTTTAAATTTTTATGATTCAGGTACAATGAAACCATGCAATCCCGACCAACTGGTGACAAGTAGGTATGATACTCCTCACAATTAGATGTTGGAATGAAAATTTAAACTTAAATGCAAGGCAACATGCTAACCTAATACACATATGTCGTGTAATTTTCAGTTAGAAACTCAAACTTATATTCGGCTCCGTAAAATATATATCAAACTCGCATTTATGTGAGCGAAAACCGGATAGAAGTGTTGAAATTGTTGTTGTTTGAATGCATGAAGTGGCAGAATTGGAAGTGAAACCAAATGAAGACTGCCGACCTAAATTAGGCCTCTTTCTCTTTCTGATACGAGTCCCTCTCATTCCCCGGTTTGGAATAAAAAACAATTAAATCTATCACTTCCACGTATTAAATGTTACCGTTAGGGGCATGCTCATTGCTCATTGGTAGCCACACAGAAAGTTAAAACCAAATGTCAACATCTGCCGGTGGTCCATCAGTCCATTTGCCCAATCAGAAGACGAGCTCAGGCAGTGCAATGGTGGACCCTTCTGCACTCCATCATTTCCACCTTGCCTAGGGTTTTTTGTTGCGTACAGGCTCTAGTCACTACAGTCCAATATAGAGTAAGAAAAATCAGGTAGGGAGAGAAAGAGAAAGAGAAAGCAGATAGAGAGAGAGAGGGAAAGAGATAATGGAGGGAGACAGAGGGATTACGTGTTGCATATATAAACATAAATGGAAAACAATGAAAAAATGATAAAAAAGACTGAGTGAGAGAGAGAGAGAGAGAGAGACAGAGTGCCCCAGAAAAAGCAGAGAACAGCACAGGCTTTGTTTTTGTCCTAGAGAGAGAAAAAAGTATATAAAGATAGAGAAAGAGAAAGAGATAGATACAAAGTAAACATTTTTAGAGAGAGAAAGTAAAAGGGTTGTTGCAGAGTTTAGCTGCAAAGCCCGCACACATAGGGAGAGCAGGGAGAGACAGAGAGAGAGAGAGAGAGGGGAGAAGAACAGCAAAAGAGCTTCACAAGGAAACCCTAACCCTAGAAAAAAAATGTTTCATTTTGCGTCCCTCTGGTGACCCAGTAAGGCTCTGTTATTTTTCTCTCAGCTTTGATTTACATGCCATGTGAAGGAAGACAGATTTCCACAATAATTTGTAAAATCCCAGCTTCAAAATTTGCGGTCTTTGTGTTTAACTTATGCTGCCGCATGTGGGCTTGTACTAAATGTTGGATCTTTGTTGTAGAGGCTGAAATTTCAGGCTTATTGGGGGTTTATCTCAACTGGATTGCTTGAACTAGAGGTTTTCTGGTTTTGTTTTTTATTTGGGTATTTTGTGCCTTTTTTCCTGTGGAATTTTTCTGCTTTTTCTGAAAATTTGTCTGGAGATTAGAGGCATTAAGAAATTTAGATGATTGTGGGTTCTTTCTCTGCATAACTTGGTGATTTGAGGACGTCTTTGATGAATGGTTTGAAATAAAGCTTCTTACTTTGTGCGCCAGAAGTGAGGTGAAGAAGAAGAAATAGCTTCTGGAAGTTAAAGATTTCTCATTGTCTGTTTGGATCCGGCTAGTGGTTCGGGTTGAACCCAAATAAATTGCAGTTGATTTACTCTCTGATCTTTGCGCTGGAGCGGTTAGGATTACCGGGGGCAATGTCTTCGTTAAGCAGGGAGCTGGTATTCCTGATCTTACAGTTCTTAGATGAGGAGAAGTTCAAGGAAACAGTTCATAAGTAAGTTTGATTCCGTAGTACTGTTTTGTTCTGTCTGATTTTCTATTTCTTCTGCTGAGGAAAATTTGGGGAAGAGAAGATTGGAAACATTTCTGTCTATTTTCGGGATTTTGTGTTGTTTTGAGTAATATGGCCGATACGAAGCTTACAAAACAAAAATGGCTTTCGAAGCCAGCCTTAGATTTTGCTGGGTGGTGGCTTGCTCTATTGTTTGCATCTGTCTTTTTCTTCCCCGCCTTTCTCGGCAGAAAAAAAAGAAGCAAGATAAATTGGGTTTGAACGCAATATTAATGCCATGTCTTTGTATATAATGTGCTTCTTTTTTACACTTAGGCTTGAGCAAGAGTCTGGTTTTTTCTTCAATATGAAGCATTTTGAGGACCAAGTCCAGGCCGGAGAGTGGGATGAAGTTGAGCGCTATTTGTGTGGCTTCACTAAAGTTGAAGACAACCGGTATTCAATGAAGATTTTTTTTGAAATTAGGAAGCAGAAGTATTTGGAAGCTCTTGACAGGTGAGGTTCAAAACTATCGCTTTTGACATTCATGAGCATGTTGATGATGCAAAGAGCTGAATTTTTTGATTGATTTACTGCCAAAATTTGATACCAAATTGATCTGATAAATGCAATCAAAGGAAAGAAATAATGCTGAGCCATGTCAGTTGGTAGCGCTGTAGAATTTGATCTCAATGTTCCTTTATGTAGCTATTTGATTGGTTAACTTAATTTTGTTTCCTTCTATCAGGCAGGATAGGGCAAGGGCTGTTGAGATTCTTGTGAAGGACCTTAAGGTTTTTTCATCATTTAATGAGGAACTTTTCAAGGAGATCACCCAGTTGCTTACTCTTGATAACTTTAGGTATTGCTTGTTTCCTCTGTTGCTTCTTTGTTAATCTGGAGGTCTGCCTTGTATTTGGCCCTTATTCTTTCCGTTTTTATTGCATCATCAGGCAAAATGAGCAGCTTTCCAAGTATGGAGATACAAAATCGGCTCGGAATATCATGCTTATAGAACTTAAAAAGCTCATTGAGGCAAACCCATTATTTCGTGATAAGCTTGCATTCCCAGCCTTCAAAAGTTCACGACTTCGAACGTTAATCAACCAGAGGTCATTCTCATATCCTTTCTTAACTTACTTTGTGCAAATTTGTCATTAACCAGTGATCACCTCTTTTTATACAGGCATCTGCTTATGCCACTAGATGCCTGATAATTCTGTAGCGAGTTTGCCTCTTTTGGATATTAGGATACATTATCAATTGCTAATTGATAGATAATTACTGATTGAACTGCTAAATGACATTTTGCCAATGTTGGATTTTCTTCTGATAAGAGTTGCTCATTTCCATGTCAGTCTCAATTGGCAGCACCAGCTTTGCAAGAATCCCCGTCCAAACCCTGATATTAAAACACTATTTATGGATCATTCTTGCACTCCAACTGCTAACGGATCTCGTCCTCCACCCACAAATAGTCCCCTTGTAGGACCAATTCCAAAGGCTGGTGCATTTCCTCCTATTGCTGCCCTTGGTGTAAGTGGCACCTAATCATCTGCATAAGAGAGTGCAACAATTTCAAACAGTACATGGGATTGACTATTTGTTGTTGTGCAGCCATTTCAACCTGTTGTCTCCCCATCTCCTGGTGCCATTGCTGGGTGGATGTCAAGCACTAACCCTCCTTTGCCCCACCCTGGTGTTGCAGCAGCTCCTCCTGGTATGCAGCCTTCTAGTGCAGCTGCTTTCCTGAAGCACCCAAGGACCCCTACAGGTGTTACAGGGATGGATTATCAATCAGCTGATTCAGAGCACTTGATGAAGCGTATTCGCACTGGTCAAGCTGATGAGGTGTGACAAGAAACAATTATTTTTCAAGCTCAGTTACCATGTTTTTGTTACTTGAAATAAGCACTAAGATCTCCCTCACCCTTCTAGTAAAAATAATGACGAAAATCCCTATGCTCGCCATGGTCTTTCAGGTATCCTTTTCTGGTGTGATGCATAATTCCAATGTCTATTCACAAGATGACCTTCCCAAGGCTGTTGTTCGTACCCTTAGTCAAGGATCTAATGTGATGAGCATGGACTTCCATCCACAACAACAAACTATTCTTCTAGGTTTGTACTTGAAGTTAATTTGATCATCAGTTGTTTTTTGGTTCATTTTTCTGAGGTTCTCAATTATGTTGTTTGTAGTTGGAACAAATGTTGGTGATATCAGCCTCTGGGAAGTAGGGTCCCGGGAGAGGTTGGTACATAAGCCTTTCAAGGTTTGGGATATACAAACTGCGTCAACACCGTTGCAGGTACTGTATGTTATGACTTTGTAGTTGTTGCTTGTTTTCCTGTTGTCTTTATGGTCAATAATGGGTTACATGATGGGTTTGGGTCTTTTACAAACTCATAACCATTGTTCAAGGAAGATATAATTTTGAGTCTTATTCTTATGATACTTTCACCAAGACCAGGGTAGCTGACACCTTTATACTAAACTTTGGTGCATAAGTATTGTGATCTAGAAGAGTTAACTGATTGTACTTGAAAATCATTCCTGATTCAGACAGCTCTGGTGAATGATGCTGCAATATCAGTTAATCGTTGTGTATGGGCGCCAGATGGGTTTATGTTGGGTATGTACACTCCTGATCAAAAGGGACAAATAGTAAGCATCTTTTTAGTGAGATAACATTCATGACCTGCTTTTATATTTCCCAGGTGTTGCATTTTCTAAGCACATTGTTCAGATATATAATTACAATCCAACTGGAGACCTGAGACAGCATTTGGAGGTAAGATTGTACTTCATATAATTTTTTCCCTGGGCAATGACAATGCACAAGTTATTGACTATTTGTCTCATCTTTTAGATTGATGCTCATGTTGGTGGTGTTAATGACATTGCATTCGCTCACCCCAACAAGCAATTGTGTATTGTTACATGTGGAGATGATAGAGTGATTAAGGTAAGCTGTAAGACTTGATGTGGTTTCATACTTGGAAGAGATTTGGGATCCCTGATTATAAACATCTGTGCAACAGGTATGGGATGCTGTAGCCGGACGCAAACAGTATACATTTGAAGGCCATGAAGCTCCTGTGTATTCAGTGTGCCCTCATTACAAAGAAAATATCCAGGTTTATATCTTTTTATAAGCTTGTCAACGGGTTTGTTCTAATTTGTCTCTTCAGATAAGCTCCCATCCTCCTGACTATTATATAACAATGCCATTTGTCCTTGTGGCAGTTCATTTTTTCAACTGCCATTGATGGGAAAATTAAAGCTTGGCTATATGATTGCTTGGGATCACGAGTGGATTATGATGCTCCTGGACTTTGGTGCACTATGATGTCATATAGTGCAGACGGAACCAGGTAAAATTTGTACTCCATTATATATATTTGTCTATTGCAGATTATAGTTTGACATTAAGTTATTGGAATAATATATCTGCATGGAATCTTTTTCTGTACTAATGTGTCAGACTTTATTGGATGAAAAATACAGCTATTTTCCCCACTCCTCCCTTCAGACCTTCCCCTTTTTTTTCCTGGAAATTTCACTTGAAAAATTTCTTTTGTAAGCCATTAATTTATATCTCAAATACATACGTATACATATTACATAATGACGATACATATTGTGCATGCAGACTCTTCTCATGTGGAACAAGTAAAGAAGGTGAATCCCATCTGGTGGAGTGGAATGAGAGTGAAGGGGCTATCAAAAGGACATATTCTGGTTTTAGAAAACGCTCTTTAGATGTTGTTCAATTTGACACAACAAGGAACCGATTCTTAGCTGCTGGTGATGACTTTCAAATTAAGTTCTGGGATATGGACAATACCAATGTGTTGACAGCTGTGGATGCAGATGGCGGTTTGCCTGTCAGTAGCACTCTCTTTACATTTCATCAACACCACTCAACTGGAAGAGTGAACAAGTCACACTAAATGTTTTACTCTTTTAACTTTTGCAGCCTAGTCCTAGACTGAGATTCAATAAAGAAGGGTCACTGTTGGCTGTAACAACAAATGACAGTGGTATTAAGATTTTAGCAAATAATGATGGCTTGCGCTTGATTAGAATGTTGGAGGGAAGGGCTATGGAGAAAAATAGAGGCACTACTGAGCCCATCAACTCTAAGGTAGGGTTTGTTCTGTGGTCCTTAAGTCCATATTTGCAAAATGCCTGATGACATTAGTTGTTGATTCTGTGATCAGTTATCAATAGTTATATTTCTACTTTGCTATCCTGATTCTCATGTCAAGTTTTATTGCTTACCTTTTGTTAATTTTCTTCTAGCAGCCTCTGATGGTCAATGCAATAGGCGCCATTGTGAATGTTCCTAACACTGTTGCTCCAGCCCTGGAACGTCCTGATAGAATACAACCAACTGTGTCTATCAGTCATCTAGTAAGTTTAAGCTGCATAAAATTGTTTATGCTCTCTATGTTCGTTGGTTTATATTGGTTTTTCACTGCAGGGTACTATGGAGAACAGCAGGCTTGTTGATGTTAAACCACGGATTTCTGATGATATAGACAAGATTAAGAGCTGGAAAATTTCTGATGTTGCGGATCCCTCTCAAATGAAAGCTCTCCGACTTCCTGACTCTACAATTGCTGGAAAGGTATAGAGGACTGACCTTCGATGAGTTTGTATATATCTCTTCTCTGTGGGGGAGTATAAAATGTGACAGAAAACCCTAACTTGATGTTTTTGTTTATTCATGGTTTTTTTACCCAAAATAAAGCAGATTTTATTTGGTTAGTGAACATAACTTTTGTTTGTTTTTTTTTTAAAACTGGTGCCGATTAATCAATATAAACGTATCTACTGTAGTGAACTAGATCGTTTACTTCGACTATGTAGATTCCACAATACCATAATTGAAGAAATTATTTCCTACTGGCAGATTGTGAGACTAATGTACACCAACAATGGCCTGGCTTTGTTAGCCCTTGCCTCCAATGCTGTTCACAAGCTTTGGAAATGGCAGCGTAATGAAAGGAATCCATCCGGGAAGGTATGGCTTGTGTCTTTGCTCAAGTGAATCTGTGCCTGTTGTATATTTTATTTGTATGTTATAGGTTTCTACCTTGCGGTTTTTGTCTTGTTTATACTTTTCTTTTTAATTTTTTTCAGGCTACTGCATATGTTGCACCACAGTTGTGGCAGCCTCCCAATGGAACTCTTATGACTAACGATGTAAATGACAATAAACCAGCTGAGGAGTCTACTGCGTGCATTGCTTTATCCAAGAATGATTCTTACGTCATGTCCGCATCTGGTGGGAAGGTCTCTTTGTTCAACATGATGACATTTAAGGTATGTTATTGGTGCCTCACATTTTTGTGTTTGTGCCTCCTTGTTTCGTTGATCTTTAGTCTGGCTGAGAGAACCCGGGCATATATAGGGCTGATACCCTTCACGACATAGCGATTCTTACAGATCGCTATTTGTTTTAATTATCTTGTTGACTAAATCCACCTGGTAACTGCTTTGCAGGTCATGACAACATTTGTATCTCCCCCTCCCGCAGCCACTTTTTTGGCATTTCATCCTCAAGACAATAATATAATTGCAATTGGCATGGAGGATTCTACTATATTAATATATAATGTTAGGGTTGATGATGTAAGGCATCTTCCTTGGTTTTCTTTGTATTTGCTGCTTGATGTCTTTGATTTTTTGCTGAGTTGTCTGGTTATCTGAAAAGCTAAACCTTGGATGAGATTTTCAGGTCAAAACCAAACTGAAAGGTCACCAGAATCGGATTACTGGCCTTGCATTTTCCCAAATTCATAATGTACTGGTATCTTCAGGTGCTGATACCCAGGTGAGTGACCGGTTAGAGTTTTTTAGTTCTATAACAAGCATAGCAGTTCTTTCCTTTCATAGAGGAAAACATTGAACTTGCTGCTCATTTATTTGTTTCATATGTTACTAGTTTTTTTTTGGGTGTGATGGGAGGTGAATGTAATGCCATAATTAAAAGATGAGAATAATATGGATGGAGGTGTTTCATCCACTTCCAGATAGAGGATTGTTTTCGGACGACTGAGTACAATGATTCTAAATGGAAAATATTAGACGCTCTTGATCCTCTTATTTAATTGCAATTATTTGATTTTTGAGTCCATAGATTCTAATTGCATGAGAGTTTTGTTTGCTTCGGTGACTGGGCTGCAGTTATGTGTGTGGAGCATTGATGGATGGGAGAAAAAGAAAACAAGGTTCATACAAGCACCAGCTGGTCGCCAACCCCCGATGGTTGGAGAAACAAAAGTTCAGTTTCATAATGATCACACACACCTGTTGGTTGCCCATGAAAGCCAAATTGCTGTGTATGATTGCAAGCTTGAATGTTTGTGCTCTGTAAGCTTTCACCTGGCAGTCCTTGTGTCATAGTTTCTCATTGATGTTTCTGCTTCGGCAGATCGATATGCAAGATTCTTGATTTTCAGTTTTTAATTGATTTTTCCTTCCATTATTGTAATTTGACTTTTCTTCACCTCTATGATGGTAGTGGTCTCTGAAAGATGCACTCACTGCTCCCATATCAAGTGCAATATATTCATGCGATGGTCTACTGGTTTATGCTTCTTTTTGTGACGGTGCTGTTGGAGTTTTTGATGCTGATACCTTAAGACTGAGATGTCGAATAGCACCTACTGCTTATATACCATCATTTTCTCTCAGGTGAGCCGACAAGAGTATTCTGCTGTTTGTTGAATAAAAAACTTTGTTTTTTCGAGTTACGTTTGAGATCTTGTAAGGTTCATTTGCCGTTTGCTGATGGAAAATATTCTGCAGCGGAAACCCCAGCTATGCTTTGGTTATAGCAGCTCATCCGTCTGAGCCTAATCAGATTGCACTTGGCATGACTGACGGCTCAGTGCATGTAGTTGAACCATCTGAGGCAGAGCTGAAGTGGGGTGGGGCGCCCCCTCAAGACAACGGCCCTTCCAATTCGTCAAATCCTTCTCCTAGCGGTCAAGCATCTGAGCATCCTTCCCGGTGATGGTGGCATCGATGAAACGAAGGATAGACATGAATTTCATGGTGCAGTTTCAGGAATTTTAGTTAGTACATTTTCCAATTTTTCGTTAATTTGAGCCATTGCTTTGGTTCACGGCTGCTTATTATTCTATGTAAATCTTGTATTTGTTTTGTTGAATGAAGTTGTAGGGAGGGAGAGTATGAATCTCTTATATTTTCATCGCCAGAATGTGTTGGAAGACACCATGAAAAGGCCAACTTGTCTTCCGGCAGTATTTTAGGTTGTTTTATTCCCTTTAATACGTAATTATAGTATACATAAGTAAATGGTTTTTGGAATGAATTATTGTTTTATTACTGCGCTTCTTATTTACTATGTTATGCATGAAGAAAATGTCTCAAAAAGGTCGAATCCGTCGAGACGCTACTGTCGTGTTTTGTTTATTTATTTTTATGTTTGTCCAATCAACGGAGAAGGGGATTTGAATTTGGGACTTGTTTTAATCAACGGCGATTTTGCAATCAAGGATAATATAGTAAGAGATGGGTTTTCGAGAGCTCTTTAGTTACTAGTGCATCATTCTATTATTCAAATTGGGTAGAGCAATGCACTCATTCTCTGCACTCGAGTTTGAGAAGTGTTTCGAGGTATCTTAAATTACCACGAGATATGGTAATTTTTCATATGGGGTCTTAATCCACACACAGTACTTGTCACCTACTCCAATTCACATCAACCCATTAATTCCATGGAGAAGGAAAAAAAAACAAATTAATCCAAAAAACAATACAGACACAGGAAGAACTTCAATGCAATAAATATTTTTTAGAACAGTATTTCAAAGCCAATCATTAATTTATTTGTTAAACAAAATACGTGTGACACGTGACGAGACTGCTCGCAGTCGCAGTGACTTTCCCGTTCTACACTTCTTGTCTTTACAGTCTACCACCACTCTCTCTCTCTCTCTTCTCTAAACAGAGATTGATTCGATTTGGTTCGGGTCGGGTCGGGTCGGTCGGTCTCTCAGAAAATCCCAAAGCTTGGTAAGTCCTCTTCATCTCTATCTCAATCTCTCATGTTCTGTTTGGTTGCCGGGAAAACGCCCCGCCGTGAAAAGATGAAGGAAGTTTCGGAAATTTTGTTGACTGCTCGTATTTATTTCATCTTTTTAGGTGCGAGTTAGTGTTTTCTGGCTCGGTTTTTCTCGGCAACCAAATGGAGTGGGAGAGCATAAAATTTCGAAATTTACTTATTGCAGGAGCATTTTTTACTTGTTCATGTTATTAGGAGTTTCAAGTTACTGGAATTCAAATTTGTGTTAAAATTGAGGAATTCAAGTGAATGTGATTTTAACCATGAATTGTAGGTTAAGAGGGCTCTAAATGGAGATGCCATCAAATGAAAATTCACAGCCCTCAATGAATTCTACCAGCAATGCTGATCATCAACAGGAGGCCATGCTTCCCGATGGCGTAGATAATCTGTAAATTCTTCTTTCCCTCTACATTTGAATGTATATCGTACACGGTTTATTTTGAAGTTCTTATCGAATTTTAGATTTAAATTTGGTTTGCAAGGCACTTGTAGCTTTAGTTGGTTAAGAGCCGCAGTGAAAGTACACTCTCTAGGTTTTCTACGCGCTGGACTAGAGGGCCTTATTGATGCTCTTCACTGATAACAAAATACAACGTGTTATTGACCCCGAGGGTGAGGGACATTTTAAGGATCAGAGACCTTTCACATTCATGTAGTGAGGGATCAGGTTATTTTTCGTATAGTTTGCCCTATCATAGTATATTATCCAGTCTAGTAGAAATTCAATTGTTAATAGATCTAGTCAATATGCATTTTTAAGTAACTTCCATCTTTTAGGGATTAGTATTTGTTTTCCCCTATGATTGAGATGATGTTATGGAAATTTACTTTTTCACGTCACATTGAGGGCTCAAAAGTCTTCTCTGTGCAAAATTCATTTGTTTTGTTTTTTATTTCATATTATGGAACTATTGGTGAACTTGATATTTTAGATGTAATGAGTCGAAGCTGGAGTTTTCTGAAGCAGAAGTTAGAGAAGTGGTAGAAGTTATTGCATCCACTGGGAAATTTTGGTAAGCTGTCATCTTCATTGTGTAACTCTCTCATCCGTGTTTAGTTATTAATATATTATTTTTGGTACATGTCATGTATGTGTATTTGATTGTGTTTACTCTTTGGTATGATGCATGAAAAACAAACATTCTGCTTGGTAGTTAACTGTTCTTGTTACTCATATGTTACAGGCATGATTGGGACAAATTAAAGAGCATGCTATCGTTTCAGTTGACGCAGGTATGGGGAAGTATGCCAGCATGTTTGCCCTTCAGCTATTTATGGTTGTCACTGTATGCATGCTTGCACATGCACGCAAACACTCTTAATGGTTGTGCATGATTGCTTTCTAGTTCCTTGTTTATGATATATGTATCTTTCTCTCTCTCTCTCTCTCTCTCTCTCCATCTCTCCATCGCTCTTATTCTTTTATTTCTGAAGGTTCTGTTGGAGTATCCTGAGGAAAAAATGGCAAGTGAGCAGCAAATTACTTCTTTAGGAGAAACCTATCCTGAGCTGGTGAAGAGGTTGGATGAAGGTATTCTCATTCGCCTGATCATATAACTTGATTGATGTGTCGTTATATGGGTTACTGCCCTTTGGTATTTGTTGAGATCTGTGTGATCGAATACCCAACCGCTGTCTCATGTACTGGCAGTCTAGGTCATTCTGGGTTTTGGTGAAAAATGGGTGGGATGATGTACTTGGACTATAGCTAATAGTCAAATCAAGGTTTGGGCAGTAGGCGTAACAATCACAAAAGAGGATGTGGAGCTAAAATTTCTAGTCTATGGGTGTTAGGGTCTATAGTTTTATAGAATTTTCAACTCCCTTTTTCTATCATAATTGCTTGTAGTTTGTTTCTTCATTGCAGCTCTTCATAGTTTTACCGAAGGTCCTCCGTTTACCCTTCAGAGGCTTTGCGAGGTGTGTATTCCGTCTTTACATCTCTGTATTATGTTCATGATTGTGTCATTCATCTCTGTTTGACACTTTTTGAGCTCTGATTATTGAACTAGATGGGTTGAATTTGTCTTACCTTTTCTGGAACTGCTATTATTCTCTCGCCCTTCTTTTCACCCTACTGCACTATTCGCCGCCTACCTTTAGCGAGTGCTTGCATATATTTTTGTGTGATACGTTCAACATGCTACTATTCCTGTTCTATCATTACCAGATCTAATTTTTTTGGTGATATTTTTGTCAAACAGATCCTATTGGATGCAAAAAGAATCTATCCAAATCTCTCGAAGCTTGCTCTTGCATTAGAAAAGGTAAATAAATCAAAAACCTGATGCAAATGTTTTCCTTTATTTCTGATATTCTTTTAATCTGACAATTTTTCTCACTGCACCTGAGGCCGCTGATGGTTGCTCTATCTCCTTGACCATTTACTTATTCCATCGGTTTCGAGCATTGTCTCCATGGTTTAAATAATATAAGGTTGCTCTAATGCTTCCATATTATTTTTTGGGCTGAAAAAACTCTTCCCTTTAAGTAACTTAAATCCTTGCCGCCTTATTTTAACTAATATTGAAGTATATCAAAGCTACAACTTGCATATTATTAGTTTCATTTTCTTAAACCTTTTGAATCGTAGCATTACAACTAGCACTTTCTTGCTCGTAGAATCTATTGGTGACATCTATGCTGACAGTCTCAACGGATCCGTATCCACAAGCCACAGTGCAAAATTCAGTTGAACCAGACAAAGCAATTGACGAACCTAAAATTCACTCTGATTCAGTGCAAAATGGGGTGGAACCTGTGGTAGGCGGCGATAGGGATGAAGTTATGGCAGAGGTAGAGCAAGCTGATATCGATGATGACATGACCATTGCCATGGAAGCTTTTGAAGATATAGTTGGATCATCAGACGCAAATTCAGTGCAGACCAATAATTCTTAGTTTTCCAGTGATGTAGTCAAGAGCGCATCAGTTCCTGCATTAACCCTACCTATTGAGGTCGAGTTTTCTAAGTGAGGAACTTGGATCATTTACTCTGGTCTCCGGCATGCAGGTTAGCAGCAATTAATACCGGAAAGCACGGATACTGGCTGGCCACATAGATCCGGGAAGATTCTTATTCATATTTATGCTTAAATGATGTAGTTACAATTTTGAGAATGCTTTATTTTAAGGGATTTGTTCAGCAAGTTTATGTTGCCCACTTCACTTGGTACAATGCTTTTAGTGTTGAGGTATGGGGAAAGGCACAGAGAAATGTCAGAGCCATATATGGAAATTTCAAGTGGCGAGCAAGGGCAGCCTGTATATCCACCTCATTTCCTACTAGCTAGACATGGTTCTTCTTTCGAGATCCGTCGTTTAAACTTACCAGTTTCAGGAGGCGAGGAACCTGAAACTTTTGAATTTTCTTCTTAGGATTCAAAAGAGAATTAAAGCTCCTGAAACCACTCTGTAACCGCAGGTAGCAGAAATATACTTTTATTTTTATTTTTTAATTTCGAGTGTAAACTTTGTCATATGTACATTGAACTATTGGTTCAATCTCATCCTGGAAGAAATAAATAGCAGATAATACAGACACAGAACCAGGACATAGAGTTTCTTCCCTCTAATTAGTCACTATTCACAATGAGACTTTTATTTCCAAATTTGTTAGGCTCTGACTTCAACGACGTCGCCATCTGTGAGCTTTGTATTGGGTAAAACCAGCTGACCGTTAACCAGGACCAGTTTTCCCTCCAGTCCTACTCTTCTTGCGGCATCTGCTGCGGTGCTGCCGGTTCTCAACCGCATTATTTCACCATCGGGCCAACATATAATCACCACTTCTCCAAGGACAACAGAACCTGGACTGCGGTAAAACTTGCTGCTATGCTTTGCTTGTCCAAGACTTGCTTCTGAGCGTAGCTGTTCTTCCCATCGCAGCATCGTCCTCAACAAACGTACCTAGAATCCGAAAGCAGATATTAAGTAGCGTCAATTAGGCACTAAGTTTATTTAGCAAGCGACTACCACGCTAAAAAATTAAAATTATATGCATTCACAGGAAAACCTTGTTGTTGATGCTAGTTTCCATGGAAGTTGACGGAACTGAGCTAAAGCTTGCTGTGGATGTAACATCGTCGAGCTCTTTTCCGTCAAAAACAGCAGAAACAACAGACCAATATTCCGATTCTTCTTGGTCTGTCAAGTCAATGACCTGAATGAAGGTTGGAAGTAATCGCCCAAACTGGTCTTGCTGCAGAAGGATACGCTAGTTAAATTATTTAAGAGAGCAATTACAGTCATCATATGATCTATTCGTACCCACGATAACTTGTATGCTTCGGTTTGGGTCTCGGGTTACTGTAGATGATTTTGAGGATCATTGAGTTGTATGAAGGATCTGCATTGCGTGAAGTACATGTTAAACATACCTTATGGTACATTCCATCTCGACAAAGTGTATATCTCTCTAGGCAGGTACACCAATCCCCATGTCCTGGTTCACACCACCATTCATCCGTCACCTGGAATACCAAGTCAGAGCAAATGGGGTCACTTGATATTCTCTATACCGACAGCACGTCTACAGAATTCTCCCTATACGACCGAACTTGAAGGAGTTAGAGCATGATGGAACTCAACCGGAAGATACTAATGTAATTTGATTGCAGAAATATCAACGTAAGGGACAAAGTCGAGGATGATTTGAAGATTAAGAAAGCTTGGGAGCAGGACAACTACGTTGACAAACTATCTTAAGATCTTGAATTCTTTCCACGAGTAAAGTTTCAGAAACTATGCAGTGGAGTCAATCTTTGAAATAAAGAAAGTCAACCTTCTTGTATAGTCTTGCATAGGCTTCCCACCGTTTTATTTGGAAAGAAGATTTTCTATCAGCTACTGCTTCAGAAGCAGCTAGTCCAAAGCTCACAGCAACTATCAACTCCCTTCCATCTTTCTCTACTCTGCAATGTCAAGTTTAACACAAAACTTGGTCACTGGAATGCTCAAAGAGTAACTCATGCTAAAAGAATATGGCACATGGTAAGTTTTCTAAATTCCTCGATGAGTATACAAGCCTTGTTGTACAAGTATACGTAAACTACAAGAAAGTACATATAAGGAATACATAATCAGAAAGATATGATTTCATAATTAGACTTTTGCTGGAAATCTGGGATTGACCAGATTTGTCGGAATTACTTCTATCAGTATAGACATCAAGTAGTTACATACCTAATGATAACAGCGGCAAGAAGATGACTCCCTTCCACTCTAAGGACTGGATGTCCAATTTTCAACAAATCATACTTTTGAGAAAAATCTTCTTCTGTAGAACTTTGGTCCTCAATATCTTTGGATAAAAAGGCTGATACATCTATTTCAGATTCATCCGTGCTACTTATGTTAGAAAACGTATTTCCAGTCTCTTTATAAAGCCAATGTGCTGCAAGTCCATGTTCAGCGTACTCGTGCATCCTCTAAAAAAGATGAAATGATTATCAGCTAAGTCAGAAGAATAGTAACAAGTAACTCTATTCTCCTTTAAGTTGGAAGACATTTGACACCTGTGTTCGTATTTGAACTTCCAAAGGTGATCTGTCAGGACCTTGTACTGCAGTGTGCAGAGACTGCAAAAGGGTATTCACAGTAAGATGTCGAAAGCGGATTCCGATAAAGGCACAAAGCATGTACATTACATAATACATATACCACATTCAGACAGAATAGTCCAACATGGTTCAAGGGTCGGAGACTCGGAGGCTATTAGGAACTGAGAAAAACGGAGCCAAATCATTTATATCGACCTTCTAAAACTAGTGGAATCATGAACTGGAAAACTGACCTGATAGCCACTAGGCTTTGGATTGACAATGTAATCATCAAACTCACCATCAATTGGGGTCCAATGCCTGCACATAACAAATTATAGACATAAGCCGGTCTTTGTATGCAAAATAATTCTATCAATAGTCAAATATTAAGTTGCTGGCAGTAACATTATCACATATTCACATTACCCTTAATATAAACGTATGTGATCATATTAATGCATACAATTACCCCATTCTATTACTTAACTAGATCCCACAACAAATAAACAAAAAGAAAGGAAAAGATTAAAATGTCGGGGGCAGGGCAAGTGTTACATTTATTTAAAGAAGAAGAAGATAGAGTTCAATTTGATTACTTGTGTACAATGTCAAGAAGGCTGTAACAACACTGGACAGCAGGCCCATGCAAAGTTCCGTTCTTGTCTCCAACGACTACCCTTAATGCACGGGCATCATAAACTTTACTAATGCTGACATCTTTCCGTTTCATCTACAAGTGCAACGACAGACTAGATGTGTTAAAACTTGCGAGGGAATTCTATGTAAGGGCTTATCTGGTGATAACTGCAAAAATCAAGCACAAAAGTCTTCAAACATATTAAACTGTGAAGTTGCATTAAAACCTTGCTGTAGATGCTATACAAACTTTTCAAGCGGCTCGATAAAGTTACTTCCATCCCTGGAACATAACTGAAAACATAATGTGGGTTGGAACACTCAACATTAGCCAAACTGACAATGAAGCATATACATTGTATGGTGACGTATAAATTTATTTGTGGTCGCACATAACCTTCATAAAATTGCAAGCAGAAAATGAAAAAGGAGACAGCAAAAACATACGAAGTTGATATGATAAACTCCTGCTCGAGGGCCTCCTCACAAATGACCATAGATGCCAAGGCAATTCCAGCATCTTGCACAACCTTTGCTCTTCTGTGAGTCTCCAAACCTTGTCCTAGAGCATTAAGAAATTTAGACCGTTTTCTTCGATCTAACAATACATCAAATGGCACTACAGCTTCCAAAAGATCCTGAGAATAATTTACAAAAAAGATCTGAGCAGTGGCCTTAACTTGAAATATGATCATATACTTTTAATGTCACTTTCTACAGTTTTAGGATACAGTATTCAGATAGGAGTTAAAAAATTTCTTTTAAATTCTTGCCTTCATGGTTGTGACATCTTCATCAACTGCTACAGGCCCCTCGTTGTCGGAAATTGAGCTTCTTCCATTTAAGGACAGCAAACTGGATTTTCTTTTTGAATTTCCTACTTTGTTACTAGAGCTCCACATAGAAGCTAGATCAGCTCTCATTTTCTTGAACATCTCAGGCTGTTTATGACATACAAAAAGGTTTACTGGATTAGAACATACAATTGGGGAAGGAACTGCAAATGGTATAGCAAGGACATAGCACTGAGTTAAAAAAAAGTACTAAACAGCATCAATCACACATCTATATCAGAACCTAAAGGTAATATCATAATACCTAGTTTCGATTGGAGCTACCCTAGGATACGTTTGGGTGCCATACAACATACAATTATCTCCTATCTTAGATACATAAAACATTCACTATTCTATAATTGTCTTGCTTAATATGTCAAATTTCTACAACTACTTTAAAGGAAGATTGTGATCAGACCTGAAGAACAGCAAAGCACAGATCTTCCAGTTCAGCTTTCATTGCCCACAAACCCAATCTGGAAGCCAGCGAGCACCAAATTACCAAGGTCTCCCTTGCAACAGCTTGAGCCTTTGGCAGCGGGAGAGCATAACTGTAAAACGTTATAGAATGTAACACATCGAGCCTAAAACTTCATAGTGGATAAGCAAAGTAAATGGAACAACATGAGCTTGTAATATTCATGGAAGTTTAGTGTTAGTACATTGTTCTCATATTGTGAAGACGATCTGCAAGCTTTATAAGCACAACACGTGGATCATCAACCATGCCCAGAAGCATAACTCGTAAATTATTTGCCTGATAGATTAATAGTGCAAACATGAGACATGGAAAACTATAGTAGTATTACTGATTCTCTATGGTGATGTAAATAGTGATTTCTGTACCTCCTCATGACCAAGTTTTCCCTGGTTCACATTTATCCTGCGGCGTCTCCGTAAAAGCTGCAGATAATGAGACCAGTTGATTAAAATTATCATCCCTCAAATTTCAGAGGTGAATTGCGCCATATTTGACATCAGATGAATCCAGATAACTAAGAAAGGAATCCAAATTACGTAACCAGGTTACGATACCTGATTTATGTAGCTTAACCTGGAAACACCAGCAACCAGCTTCGCAACATGATCACCAAACTCTTGTTGTATATCGGAGAAACTTACACATGTATCGTCCACCACATCATGGAGAATCCCGGCTACAACAGTCTCAACAGCCTGCACCAAACTTCAAATTCTTTTATGGAACTGATGGGATAAAATAGAAACTTGTTCTGTTTGTAGGAGGATGTACGTATACAGTATACTATATTGAAAGTAAAAGTACTGGGTGACCAGCAAGAAAGATTCATACTCGCTCCCCGCTTGCAGGAACCAGCATGGCCAAGATTCTTCCTGTATGAATGCAATGGACTAAATAAGGGTCTCCGGTTTTGCGCAGTTGGCCATGGTGAGCTTTCTTAGCAAATGCAACTGCCTTTTGCACCTGCCTTCACAGTTCACACATACACACACACGCACAAATTGTTTTAGTGGAATTGCAGACCAGTTGTATATATTTTGAAGTAAT